TGATTCCCAGCATCTGACAGGACAGGAAGAGGAACTATATTGTAACTGTTTTTGGCAGAACGTTTGTCGAGGGATTGACTTCACTTGTCTCTGACGCGTTCGTAGCTCGGTGCGGAGAATGGCAAAACTCACTGATGATTCCGATTAAAATGCTGGCGAGACTTTTAAGAATGTACCAAGTCCACTGTCTGATGCTGGGAATCATGACAACTACTATGGCAGACGACTTCGGACTAGGTAGATGCCGGCGAAAAGTTTTATAATGCACCAAGTCCACTGTCTGATGCTGGGAATCATGACAACTACTATGGCAGACGACTTCGGACTAGGTGCGTTTACCCCTGACAAGACAACGAGGTCAACCCACTTCTATGAATTTAAAGGAGACTGCGACCATACTAGAGGCCACAACATCTTGGTCTTTATATCTTCTACTCAATCTAGTTTGCATAAAGTAATAAAGGATTTATTTGATTTTACCACAATGATATGAGTTAGCCTTGTTTTCTAGTAGTTACTTTAATCCAAGCTGGACTGCCGTTTCGATCTCGTCTGGATCTCGTCAGTACTACCGTGAATTAAAGCTAGGTAGTTCAGTGAGTTTCAAGACTAGCCAGGCCTCTACCTTAGATCCCTTGCCTTATTGTGCACTGGAACCCATGTCAGTGTGGCATAATGGCATAATGTTGAAAATAAACTCTGCACCATTCGGTGGGGATGTTGATTAGGTCCAGGCGACGCTGCAATTGCAGTCCATCTTGATCAAAATATCTTTTGGGAGACAAGGCTAAGTCAAATTCACTGGCATCGTCAGGCCTACTCAACTCATTGTGTAAAAGTCAACTATCAGTCATTCATCACCCTATACGGTCAAGGGGCCTTGGGAGTTCTTGTATTATCTTATTTATGGTATTTACGTGACTAGTTTTCCAAAATAAAAGCATTTTTGTAGATGTGACATCCAAGTTGATATGGCCTCCATTTCGATGCATAGAAGTGGTTTGATCCAGTTTTGCCAGCGTGACCTTGATAAATGCACCTTGTCCGGAGTCTTCCATTATAGTTGTCATGGCAATTTTCAGCGTAGAATCTGGAATTAGGTACACTCCTGCACGTTTATCTGGCATCATCAGTGAGCTTTGTCACTGCTGCAATCTACCACTCATCAAAGCAACGTGTGTAACCCATTCTTTTATTAGCCTTTTTCTGCACAATATAATTGCCTATCTATCCTCGTCTTTTCCTCCCTCACGGTGGCAACTTATAATGCTTTTATTCTGGACAAATCCAGATGTTTCCCATCTTTACCAGATTTGTTTATGCAGTGTTACATCTCCCCCTGGTTTTCGTCCACCTTGGTTGTGCATTTATTATAAAGTACATCAAATATGTACTTGTAGCTAAAACCACTTTCCCTGCAGTTTTGCATCTATGTTTTTACTGTGTTGTGTTTAAAAATAATCTTTTAATCTTATATTGTCGGCCATTTAGGCCGACTAGTTTCCTGGTGTGGTAGTTATGCTATCCATGTATTGGATTGAAAAAATACTTTCTTTTTTATTTTCAAACTTGGTGAGGTGAAATTCCACGATGTACTCAGCTTATAATGAAATGAATGCTTTATTTAGTTTTTACAAGTCATACAGATGTTTAGAAGAAAATTTCTCTTTGTAATGACAAAGGTAAAAATATCCACTTTAAATGTTATAAAAGGGTTTTCAATAGTTTCCATATTTTATCCTCTCGTAGCGCCTTAAGCCATATGTCTTCTTTTTCTTGAATTCAGCTTCTATACAGATACCAGGACTTGCTACCAGCTGACTACTCCTTCCAGCCGGAGCCAGATCTATTCCTTCCTTCCATCGATCTCAATAAGTCGGAATCTTCGCCCAGATCTTCAGTTCATTTTATATCTCGTCCCTTGTCCCCTAAGCTGGTGGCTAATACGGTGACTGAAATTTGTTTGGCAAGGGTGGCCGAACCTACCCCTTCTCCCAACCAAGACTTTTCAGCTCCTATTCAGATTTCACGTGATCAAATGTTTCGCCAAAATCTGTATGCTTATCGCCAGTTTCTGATAGACTTTCTAACAGAGAAGCAAGCGGGCTTGAAAATGGATGCTCACGCCAAAGTACGGTAATTTTTAATTTGGATGCTGACTACATCTTTTAATATAATTTACTCTTATATTTATGTACTTTCAGCCGAATATAATCATTGTTATATCAATTTAATTGGCATTATCCACCCTTATAGCTAACACCCTAGGATATTTTGAGTTTGAAAATATTTTAATTCTCTGCACAAGAACAGAATTTTCCACAGATCCAGATGCCTCCTTGCACAGCTTCCCTTAGGTATATTTTATGGTGGATAATTTGCGCACATTTCAGCTTGTTTTGATTAAAGCTATTCAATAAGGCCTCCTTGGAGAAATGTTGCTCGATTATATTCCTCCAAGCTTCCAGTTTTTACATCATTCTCGATCGTCTGAACATCTTGCACTATGGCTACTAGGTTATTTCATGTTACTATTAAGCTTGCAATTGGCTTTCTCAAGTAGACAGCCCAGAACCATATAAATCAATTTATCATGCGCCTAAGTAAGCCCACCTGAGCTAATTAAGTTAATCTCAGAAAATTAGTTAGGGGAATTGTTTTATTTACGTTAATCTTTGCAGTAAATCTTATGCCACAACTGTCAGTCAGGAAAACCAGCTCTTGGCAACAATAAGTGGGGCCTTTTAAATAATAATAGCTGTATTCATCCTATGTAAAGTACTTATGTCAGCTGTGTCCACCCTATCTCGTTTAAGGTGATGAAGAACTGGTAGTAGAATTTTCCCACAATGATATCAGTAGAGCTGACGTTTCTATTTAATTTCACATAGCCTTGTTTTCCCAAAAGGTGTTATCATTCATAGTGGACAGTAGTTTCGACCTCGTATAAGTTTTATCAACTCCCCCAGCTGGACTCGAACAATGACATTGCAGTGTATAATTTCGTCACGTTAATCACTACGTCACATTGCCACAAGATGTGAATTTCAAGGAAGGCCAGGCATTTTTCCATATCACATTTTTTGATGGAACTGTCGATGAAGCAACTTTATATTTGCCATATCAATCGATGATATCGAAAATCCTACCACAGAATATAATGTAGGGAAGTGCCTGGTCTTCCTTAAAATTCACATCTGCCCTGTGACCCAAGGGCACTCGTGGCAATGTTGTTGAATGGTTAATGTTTCGAGCTTACACGCTGCACTGTCATGGTTCGACTCCCGCTGAGGGTTTTGATAAGTCCTAAGCAAGGGCGAAACTGCAGTCAATCCTGGATGAAAACAAATTTTGGAAAGGCAATGTTATGTGAAATGCAATGGAAAAGTCATGTCTAACTTATAGCATTACGGGAAAATTTTATTACCAGTCTTTTATCACCTTAAACGAAAGAGGGTAAATGTGAGAATGTACAACGTCCACGGGCGGACTCTGGAAATTATCATGCATACAATGGACTCCGAACTAGGTGTCTTCTTAAAAATATGACCAAGTTGCGAAAACAAGGTCAAACAACTTATGTGCCGTATGATAGTGAATGAAGAAGAGATTCGTTGGTAGATCTCACCAGATAAGGTCGGATAAATCTCGTTAT